TAATATCAACAATGGGAACATTGAAACTCTGATACGTCAATTAAAATAAAGTAAGCGTGTTTGATAATCGTCAATGTATTTGTATAAATTAGCTTTTAATGAACTGGTCATACAAGCATATACTTGTTATGAACATTTTTCCTAAATAGAATATAATGTATATAAAAACTCAGTGGTGTAAAGGTCAAGTGTTGAGGTTAAATTCAAGGTCAAACAAAAACAGATAAAGATAGTAGTACAAGGAGATAAATTCTCATTGGAACTCTGGACTGAATTTGAAAACAAATTCGACATTTAAAAGTTTATATCCCGCAAGTTGAAAACATTGTCTCTCATTCTCACCCCTCCAGTAGTTTTAAATGAATATAATATTCGTTAGATTTGTGTGGGTATGTAACTTATGGTTTATTCAAAGTGTAATACTTTGAGATAAGAAAAAAAGGTAACATTATGGACGTTTGTCAATTCAAATAAGTTCGAGGTTAACCATTATTATTTTGTTGTCCAATAAAAGTACAATTTCTATCATTTTCAAACATTTTTCAGTTCACTATCAGAATGGGCGTTTGTGGAGATTGTACTAATCTAATAGTTGAATTCATGAGTCGATTTAAACTGACCATAATTAAAAATCTGGGAGCACTGAACGGCTGTCTCGCCCTAGTATGGGACTCCTCAGCAATGCATATCCACGGTCCCCCAAGCGGGATCCGTTCAAGTTAGACATTAACACCGTTAAATGCCGGCTCAATGATCTAGAGATTGATCGTTCGTACGCGAGATCAAAGGTCCTGGGTTCAAGTCCTGTGTGAGAGATCGTGCATGCGCACTGCTGACAAGCTCCATACTAGAATGAGACGTCTGTCCAGTGCTTCCAGTTTTTCAATGGCGGTCTAGCCCAAAACGATTCGTGAATCCATCTTTCTGTTCATTCAATGGACGAAGGCTTAAAAAGATAGAATTTTCACAGATGATTTCATTTCAACCATCTAAAGATATCAACCATGAACATGACACTGTAGAGCATCCCAACTTGTCGGATGAAAAAAAGGATAGTTAGAGCTTGAAATGAGGTCTCCAATGAAAGTTAACTTATTTGCTACACTCACTTACTAAATGAACGGAAAACTTCCTGAAATCTTCTAATACCGCAAATACATTGAAAACTGACAAACGAATTCGGTACAAACTCACGGATATGTATCCTATCTCTCTTTAAATGGCATAACCAACTTTTGAATCTAGTCGTAAATATGGTATGAGGTTTTTTATTTGAATAGTCCAACAAGTGTCTTTAAATACTTTACTCCATGTACAGTTTTATTCAGTGAAATAAAACATACTCATATTATGGAAATATAAACTTTTATTAGTATTGAAATAAATAGAAGCCACCAATATCAAATTAAGTCGAGATGTTGGACGTTTAAGTATAATGCCATAGAATGATTTGTTTAATTATATTTATGAAGACCAACCTCAACTCTCGTATTTATTGGACAGATCATTACTATTAGATGGTAGTTGGAGGTAGTCAATAGGAGACCCTGGACTCGATTTTCGTGCTACTTGGCACTCTTCAGCAAGGTGTACCTGTAATCTTGAGGGAACTGGTGCTCCCTGACGGATTCGACTCCGTGTCACCCAGCTTCACAGTCAGAGATGTTACCACTGAGCTATCCGGGCCGCGACCGACCTCCTGTAGGACTGAGATGTAATCACACTTGATTGATCGCTGGGTGGTAATCAATGTCATATATATATATATATATATATATATATATATATATATATATATATATATATATATATATATATATATATATAATTGATACTACCCCCTTGAGTGTTCGTTCACTACACTACTACCACTACTGTATTCCTACACTCAAAGCTTAAACTGAACTGATAACCTTGTAATAACGAAAATTCGATTATCTAAAACGCACTATCGGGAAGCACATACATTGTATATGTTAGCTATCCATTCAATATAATAATATCGATAATAGTTATACAACTTAAATGAATATTCTATACGAGTATATTGGTAAAACAAATATTTCTCATTGAATTCAAAATTATTTAAATTGTAATGATGATACGGAAAACATTTGTAATTTTAGTAAAAATAAAATCTATTGATAAATAATAGTGATAGTTATAAGCATAGATGATAGTGGTTAACGGTGCAACCCAGGACGCACGTTTCTTTCCATCTGGGGCTCATCAGATGAATGTACCTGCGTCTGAAACGATGTTCGCCTAGGGATTCGAACCCAGTATCGTTCTCTTCAGACACCATCATGTTATCCACTCAGCCACTGAGTCCTAATAGCCACTAGCTTGTGAAATGGGGTGAAGTTTAAATTCACTTTGTGTTGGTTGTTTGGATCTTGCCACTGTTGTTTAGGACTACAATTCATCAGTCACTTGTTGGCATGTATGCATCCTGTGCGGATTGCATTAATATTGCCTTAGACCACAAGCATTATAAGCAGAGATAATAATAATAGTAGTAAAAAACATAAAACATTCCACTTCTCGTATTGTTTTATAATTAATTAATCAGTTCTTTTTAATTAGATACTTTTGTAATTTCACGTCATAAACTGAATTTAAGTAGATGTGTATGTCCTAAAGCTTCAACCTGACTGTGCATAATTACCGTCTTATTAAGTTTTTCCGAAAGTTGGAAGTGTGATTTCTGAAAATCCTTTAAAAGTCTAAAGCGTATCTATCAATATCGTCAACTAGAAATTTGCTTTTAAAACTTATATGAATTTTGAATTCATTTGGTGTTATTTTCTTGTATCTTCCCATTGTTGTTTAGGACTGCAATTCACCAGTCACTTGCTGGTATATGTGCGGATTGCCCCGATATTGCCTTAAGTCACAACCCTTATAAGCAAAGATGGATAGTGGCTAGCAGTGAAATCCAGGACGCACGTTTCGTCCTATTTGGGACTCGTCAGCTGGATGTACCTGCACCCCAGAGTTGATGTTCACTCCGGGACTCGAAACAATCTGCACAGGATGCCCAATAACAAAACCAGTAATTTTTTAATTTGAGTACCAATTCTCTATTCTTATTATGACAGGTATGTCGTCTCATATATTTATTTTGAATAGTAAGGTTGAAAATCATTTTCAATAGATGTTTATGGGTGTTGGATTGTGAATCGAAGAGAAGTTTGCTATGAAATTAAGTCTATTGAGATGAAACTTTCGATTATTTAATGAACCGTGATAAATATCTCGAAGAGAAGAATTTTTGCGTGAAATCTTTGTGAAGAATAGGAAGGTATCCACAGAGACTGACATCTTCACTATGATCACAGAAGTAAGTTCCTATAAATATCTGATATCTAATAATTTAGGCAAGTTAATAGTTGTAGATGTGATTCCTTCATTTATATGTGAATAGTGAAGGGATTATGTGCAATGAGATGATTATCTATAAATCATAACCACGAGTTACTGCACATTGTTAGTGAGAATTTTGAAATCTATCCACTTAACTAGTTTTTCATTGGCTCATTTGTTGAACACAAAATACATGAGTTCATGCATATTGATTCAGACAAGTCTTGATTACAAGTAAACATTGGCATCAAAATATATGCCTAGGACTGATCACCAACGTATTTTCTATATAACATGAAATGACGGGACCAGTAGTACTGATCTGCATAAGTTACTAGACTATTTAACAACTCGACCACTTTTCGTAATGTACCGAAAATCTTTATACTTTTATTGTATAACTATTCGATCAGTGAGTAGCGAAGTGTCGTGTTAGTATAGTCATTTAACGCATTATCGTTACTAGTCCAAGTTAACAAACATCGCGTGTAATATGTTTTGATGCTATGTGTTTGGAGGTATTTAACATTTAGCGTCTACTCAGGCTGGTGATTACATCAAAATTTGATCAATAAAATAATAAAAGACTAGTATTTGAACGAAGAATATTCTTTTCGATAAATTCTCATCAGGTTCTACGATTATATATCCAAATTAATAATCCGAAAAAATGGCCAGGTTTTGTTTATCACAATCCTAAATTCACATGCTCTCAACGATGTACTTTGCCCTTAACCTGGCCATTTTTTCGGATTATTAATTTGGATATATAATTGTAGAACCTGATGAGAATTTATCGAAAAGAATATTCTTCGTTCAAATACTAGTCTTTAAACAATACAATATTGTCAGTATTTAGGGGGAATCGACGAACATAATTTTGTAATCAGTGATAAATCTGGAGGATTCACATACAATAACATGGAAGGTCAAATTGTAAGTCAGAGATGATACTCAAGCCATATTATCGAATACAGCAGATCACGTACGCAGTCAAGATACTGGTCTATATATCCTTGTCTGTGTCAAAAATACAGATTTATATATGTTAACAGTGTGTATATTTTATTCGAATATCACTTACAGCTCCTTAGTCACTTCACTCACACAGTAGCCTGGGCAATCGTATAGGAAGCGTGTATATTTGTATATGAAATGAATGACAGCGGTACGCAACAGTAATCCCCAGAGTTCTAGTTAAAAGCAGTGACTAGTGAAGTCTGCAGTGAGACAGTTACTCAATAATGGCATTAGAGATTAAATACTTCGTAGTGCGACCTAAAGGTATCAGGTTCAATTTCTGTTGGAGTTGTAAATGTACACATTAAGACAGAACAAATATTCAGTGCTTCTTCGATTTAAGTAGTTATCTAACTAAGATCAGTCAGTGATCCAAATCATATAAATACATCGAAAAGCATTAAAGACAATCGCAACAGTTAATAGTGGTAATAGTATTGATATTAATAGTGAATACAACAGCAAATAACAATGATAATATACAAATAATCACAGACAATGTTGATAGTGTTAATAATAATAATAATAATAATAATAATAATAATAATAATAATAATAATAATAATAATAGCCTAAACCTGTACAAATAACACCATGTTACTATGATTCTACGAAGAAAATACACCGGAGTTACAATTGTAATATCACTTTCTTCTTCTTTAAAAAAAAAAGAATACAATTTACAATAATAATTTGTTACTGTTGACGAAAAGATAAACTACATCCACGTAGATGTTTAGTTAATTCTAATTCAGTAAAAAATAATTCAGAACAATAATTACATTTAATTAAATTAGTTGGATGTTTACGTAAATAATGTGATTTTAATGTACAATTTTGAGCGGATGAATAATTACATTCACGACAACTAAATGGTCTTTCACCTGTATGCGTACGTATATGTACAGTAAGATGACTTTTTTCAACAGTTGTATATTGACAATAAGGACAACTGAATGGTTTTACTTTAGTATGTTGTATCATGATATGTTTACGTAAGTGAACATTTTGACGAAATGATGTACCACAATCACGACAGATATAACGTCTTGGTGGGATTGAATCACAGTAATACTTCTTGACATTATTATTATTACTTTTATTATCAATATTAGGACAAGCAATCAAATTTGTGTGCATTATTGTTGGCATTTGAAAGATAACATTGGCAGTCGATGTGATCATGTTATCATTATTATTAACATTCGATGTAATTACGGCATTTCCAGACGAAACAGGCATTGATTTCATTGTTACATCTATGTCAACATTTGTTGTCATTATTGTTGACGATGATGATGATGAGGAATTGTTCAATATAATTGAAGTCTCATTATTGATATCTGTATTTGTATTATTGATATGATCAATTTGTGATAAATAATTATCACTTATTTTAGAATTACTACTATTTACAACATTAATATAAGGTTTATTAATTATGTCATTTTTTAAATGTAATTCAATATTTTGACAATATTCATCATTATCATTATTTTGTTGTGGTGGTGATGTTGGAGGTGATGATGATTGTTGTATGATCATGTCGGATAATAATGGTAATTGTGGTGATAATATTGAATTTAATGGACTTGTAATTGTTGTCGGTGTAGCTGCATTTAATAACATTGCTAAATCAGCATAATCAGAATAACTGAATTCTGGATCGAAATCAGTTTGTACTTCAGATGACTGACTGATTATTGATCTTTTCGGTGAACAAGGACAACATGTAATTCGAGCAGTATTGGTAGTTTTTGTTTCTTGAATAATGAAATTATTATTATTATTAATTTCATTTTGCATTGATCGATCACAACATATTGGTAATGTTACCGGTGTTGATGTACAACAGACAAGTTTACGCATACAACAACTAACAATTGCCGTAGATGCAGTACATCTTGATGTATCTTGTGTAATTATTTCATTAGTATTTAATAAATTTGAACATGTTGTCGGTTTACAAATAATTGATCCTGTAGTACAACAATAATCACTGACATATATATCAGAATTCATAGAACTGCCATTACTACTATTATCATTATTGTTATTATTACTATTATTACTGTTATCATTATTATTACTATTGCTATTAAAATTATATGGACATATTCCTGTCGATAAATTATTACAACACGATGAAAGTGTAAGATTACAACTTTTCACGTTTGAACAAGTTTTTATATTGTTAAGTCTATTACAAGTCACTGTTGATTCACCTATGCAACAACTAACATATTTACGTTTTCTATGAGGTATACTGTGTTGTTTAATTCCAGTTAGATAAGTTTGTGTTGATGCATTATGGCTGTTACTATTAATACTAATACTACTACTGTTATCGGTATGAGCAGTGTTACTTGTAATAGTAGGTGTATCAGTAGTACTATTTGTATTATTATTATTATTAGGACTAATATATTTATTATCATCATTTGTAATAGTAGAAGTAATTGTTGTATCAGAATCGGAATTGTTCACTTTTTCTGAGAGTAATTTATCAATTGTATGCAGTACACCATTTTCACACTGATCATCATCATCATCATCATCGTCGTCGTCGTCATCCTCATCATTATCATCAACATCAACATTAAAATCATTGTTATTAACATTAGTTTCATTCAATAATTCTTCAACATTTGATGATAATGTATTTTTTAATTGTTGTTCATATGTTTTAGAAAATTTTCCAATTGTATCAATAAATATTAATTGGTGTTCAACTTGAACATGCATTAAAAATGTCCATGGAGTTGTGAATTTACGAGAGCATTGAACACATTTTAAAAAGATAGTATTATTATTTTGTGATTCTAATAAAGTATTATTATTATTATCATTATTATTACTAATATTGTCCATAACATTTGAACATGATAATGTCATCAATGGAGGTGAAGAAGAAAACGACGATGTTGATGATGATGGTAACAATGAAGGATATTTGTTATTTTCTAAATTTGAAGTAAACGGTGATTTCAAGAAACAACAACTTGCTTTTTTATGCTCAATAAACATATTAATATCAGAGAGACGAAAAGTAACAAAACATGTTCCACATGATAGAAAGTCAACTGTCATTCTTTTTGCGAATTATACCTACTACTACGCCTAGCAATAGTATAACTTTTCCAATTTCTCTTTAGATGAATTACAGAAAGAAAAATAGATTCAATGTTTGAATTGATCACAATTTGAGGGTTCAATGTTAAAGATGTTATGAATGTGAATATTATTATTATGTAGAATAATTGCTCTTCACTTTGAAATATTCAATGAAGCTAAAATTAGAGATATGAAACATTTTAATTAAACTGATAATTTAATAGTTGAAACAATTATATATATATATATATATATATATATATATATATATATATATATATATATATATATATATATATATATATAGTCCATCTCCGAAAAGACAGGACTCTAATCAACTCACAATATGAAACGATTGGAACGATAGGGAGAACACTTCAAAGAACAATTTTACTGGCCTTGAGTTACATACTACTTTCAAACAATCGACGTAAACTATCTATTATTTTGAAGAAATTGATAAAGTTATACCTTATTTGAGGCGAGGGAAACCAATAGAACCTGATAAATTAACTTTAAAGATCAGTAACAGGTGATGGTCTAGTTTTATCAATGAAAATGACTAATATATTAGCTAGTATTTGGGAACTGAACGTAATCCCATCTGAATGGTTTCGACTAAGGTCAGACCAGAAATTCGTTTGACTAATAGAGTGCTTAAAATACTAGATCCAGTAATCGTCCGACGCTTAACTAACATTCGTTAATAGCAAACCCAAGAAAACTAGGCTGGTTTCAGATATGGCTGTGGATAAAATGTAGTTGTCTGATCGACTTGAGCAAAACTACAGACATGTTTAAAATGTATTTATTTATTCAAACACATAAACATTGGTACAAGGAAGCACCAAATACATATGCGCCACATAAACCATTCGATTTGTGTGAGGGCTGGGAGAGACTGCCTGAGTACCTAAACCGAAGCATGTGGGTTTTCTTACGGGGCCACTCCATGAGTCTTTAACCCAGAAGTCTAATCCACAAGGCAGTGGAGCAACGTCAGGAGATGCCGTCCCATGGTAGCCGGTGACCGACAATAGGTTCGTACTCTATATATTCCCTCAGGATCTCGGAGCCCATGTCCACCATTGGTTCGGAACCAGGGTTTTCCAACATCTCTAGATGGGTCCTCCGTGACCACCGACTCGGTTAAAGCGCCAGACATTCGCTCTCCATCCTCTCAATTTCGTAAACAACACCCTCGCCGCGAGAAGGCAGTAATTAGGACTTCCCTAACAGTGGTTGTATGCACGTGGCCATATGAGAGCATTTGGAGAGGGAGAGCTGACTCTCCCTACCCTCATCTGTGCCAGGGCATTTGTTTCCTTACCTGACTGCTTTGTTTTAATAGAGTGAATTCTCATTTTAATCAAAACTGACACTATTTTGTGAGCGGACTCTCCCCCTCCCTCACTCGTACCATGGCACTTGGGGACAGTTAATGTTGTGACTTAATCGAAAGAACTCGATCAACACTGACAACTAAAAAACATGATATTGGCCACTATAGCAATAAATGACCAACTACCAATTAAACTAAAAATATATAACTTAACAACATATACCATCCAAGTATATGCTAATAGTTTGTTATATCTCCCGTTCATGATTTCATATGGTTTACCATTAATCTTATAAATTTAAGAACCAGATATTGTTTTTTTGTACTAGGTATAGAACATCTGTGAATCATTCGATTTGACCATTATTTTATGAGTAAATAAAAGTTTAAGTCAATAAACTCAAACTTATTCGTCACTACTATCCTTACTTGACTCATTAACCTTTTTTTAAAAATAAGTATTTTTCACATAATTCTTGACACAGTGTCTGAAGTTATATATGAATGAAGTAGAAACGTATATATTGCAAATTTTAGGTTAAATTCGACAACACTAAAATGACCTTTGGTAGTAACGATCATTATTCTGTCATTTCACTACTAATAGTACAAAATATTATATTTTTCATTGTAAATAGCTTATTTTGAAATTAGTAATATAAGTGCATGAAGAGATTACATAGACTTTGCTATAAACATCACACTGATAAGAGGACGTTTAAAACAAAAATGGGCTTGAAAACATTTTTCTCGTTTACTTTCATTACAATGAATACAACTAAATATTCATAGATTACAATGTAATCTGTCTTTGTTAGTTAAATCTCTATATATGATCAAAGTGATCAGAGAAAATATGAAAACCGATTGTGGATAAGTTTCAAATGTGCAGCGGAAGGGGAGATACCGGAATTTTTATTTTATTCAGTCAGTTATTAGGTACATAGTTGTACACTTGGCTTTCAAGCCCAGTCTAATTATGAGAAATAATGATAGCAATCTAGCTATCTAAGCTGAAGTAGGGGAATAGGCTTTGAAAACTAATCTATACCAAACAAATGAGTCGATAAAAGAAATACAATTTGTGCGAGCCATAAGTTTACTACCTGGTTACCAAAACTGGATGATGTGGAATGGAGTTCGAACCCGTGACCTGCTGTTAGCTAAAAGCTTTTTAATCACTAACCTACCGGTCAAGAAACAAGTATAGCATCATGTAGGGTCTGAAATCACAAACTGGACATAACCGCAGTCAAATGTTTTCAGTAATCGGTAGCCATTATGGGTGGAGATTTTTCGCCAATTACACTGTAGGTCAATGCAAATAATAAAGGTCACACTTTCCAAATATTGTGAATATAATTAACCACTAGGATACGTCCATTAGTTAAAATAAATCCATTGATACTTAGTAGTCATGTGTAGGAAATTTGCTGATGACATTTCTTTTTAACCGTATTATAACTTTCGATTAAGATAACCGCTTAGCGTAAACGTCTACGAGCAAATATCACATTAAATACCCGTTTGATCGTTTATAATTTCAGTTGCTGAGATTTTCTACAAATATAATCTCTCGTTTGAAAATATCTTCCATACATTCAAAACCCAAATACTCTGAATTATCCCAATGACATTCTTAACGAGATTTGATCAGTCTTTGTTGATATATGAGCATCCTGTGCAGATTACCTCGGTTTCATTTAATTTCAGACTCTTTGTTTACTTATTTCATGGATGCAGTTTTCTATTTCTTTGATTTTTGCGGGGGAAACTTGTTGAAATATTGTGTGCTGAGAATTTCACACTGCACTAAACACATAATATTGAATAAAGCTATTAACAATAATAATAATGGGTAGTTTTGCTAAAAGTTACATAGAACGAATAGACTTTGACTGGCAGTGGATTCTAGGACGTGGTTTCGTCCTATATGGGACTCGTCAGTAGTTTGGTGGGCAACGCATAGAGCATTTGAGGCGAAGAGTACCACGTTCGAATCCTAGTGTAAAAATCACCACTGAGGTGCAAGCATACTCAACTAACGGGACACAAACAGGATAGAACGCACATCATATATTTCACTACTAGCTACAAACCACCTATTCTACATAACTCGTAACAAAAATGGCTGCATTAAGGTAAATAATAATAATTTTTTCTTAAAATGGTTTACAATTTGTCAGTATTTAGACTTCGTAAACAACTCTATCCTATAAATATGTAAACTGACAGCATAAAATATTTATTTCACAAAATCTAGGGAATACACGAATCATATATCCTCCAAAATGCTCCATATTCTTATCAGTACAACTATTCCACTTCAGTCTCGAATGTCCATAACATTTCTGGATGCCCTCAGGTACATAAGGCTTTCAAAATGCGTCACTTTGTTAGAACCATGTGCATATATGACTTCCCCAATCTAGTTCATTAAAAATCTGGAAAGTAAAGTGACGATCAGAAAACATAACGGGTCTCACACGTCTCATGACTTCATCAATACAGGAGGTTGATAGTTACCATGGTCTTGTATCCACTCTTTGTGTTCTTCCAAATTCTAATCTTTTGAATTACTTGTGTCCCTTTTTTCTCTTTCCAAATTTATTTCACTGGATTACACTTCTTGAATAGCATCTTCAAACCCTAATGTTTCCGATTACTGCTTATACTTTTACTACCTCTACCACTACGGGATTTGAATCGACAATTGTATCTCAGTGCTAGTGTAGTATGGCGAATTGAACTGATGTACGTACGTACGAAGTCCTACGTTGTTGCTGACCGATGGTCTTGTATCAGCCTACCAGTTTTCATGACATTCATCTAAAAAGGCACGATATACAGGAAAAGAGCCATTTTCTTTAATATTTTAGGTTTATAAACATCCTTCAATAATTCATGAATTTCGTGAGATTTTCCGGTTTTTATAGAATTAATAGTTCAGTTTGCGTTGGACAGAAAATCTGCATATTTAACTATGATTTGCACTATGAACCATGACTTTATGTCGAGTACAACTACTGATTTTCTGGAAGTGTAAGTTTTATGTACAAGATCTCTGGATGGTCTCATACTAGACAAAAACAGCTGTTCAACATTTCCTGGTTTTCAATGGATGTCCAGATGAAGTCAATGTCTGTGATGTTAATAATTTCTAAACTGTACAACCACTATAATCCTTTCATTCTGATAAATCATTAGCTTACTGATGATTGAATTCAGAAAATTCCAAAACTCTAATAAGAAGATAAGAACGATGGAGTTTGGTAAGGCCAGCATTAACATACAGATATCACCTATCACAATAAACAGTGATAGCGTAATACCACGACTTTACTGAGGTTGTAGATGTGGATTACGGAATGGTATTCCAGTAGTCATGAATGTGAACTATTAAAGGTTTCCATACTTGATCGAAACAACTATCTAGTGTTCCTTGGTTTCTACTGGTTGTCTCAGTTACAGTCAATCTGTAACATAAACTACTCAAAAAATTCTTCTATAATCCTGACATACAACTGAAGTAATTAGAAAAAACGGAATTTTTCTTTCTAAACGCTTGAATTAGTTAATTCTTTTTACAGTTATGTTCTAGTGGGTTACTGTTTCACTGCAGAGTAAGGTTGAA